GATTTATATACTTTCCTTTACCATACTCTGAAGGGATGCATTAACAAGAAGGGCAATGTTTATTCCTATTTGGAGAACTAAGAGCATCTCAACGAACCCTCCCTTTTCTTCATGGATTTTAAATGGGCATTTTACAGCTCAACAAGGAAAGGAATCTTGGCTTACTCATCTTTGTAGTCCCAGCCCCTAGCCCATTTATAATTTAGTCATTTTTATGTTTTTGAACAGGAATTCTACATTCAATATTGTTTCAATGAGAAAAATATAGTGGCTTGAGTAGCAAGGATTTTGCTACACTGAAAGGGAAAGACTATTTATGTTAGGTTAAAATTATATGTCAGACTGAAGATAGAAAAATATCAAGGATTAACTTTCCCAGGAACTCAAGTATTAAATATCTGCTCTAGAGTTTTAAAAACAGAAGAATGTGTAACCAGTAGTAAAAATCATTATCCTAAAAAAAGCAAACTGCTGGCCGGGTGCGGTGGCTCACGCCTGTAATCCCAGCACTTTGGGAGGCCAAGACGGGTAGATCACGAGGTCAAGAGATCGAGACCATCCTGGTCAACATGGTGAAACCCCGTCTCTACTAAAAATACAAAAATTAGCTGGGCATGGTGGCGCACGCCTGTAGTCCCAGCTACCTGGTAGGCTGAGGCAGGAGAATTGCTTGAATCCAGGAGGCGGAGTTTGCGGTGAGCCGTGATGGCGCCATTGCACTCCAGCCTGGGTAACAAGAGCGAAACTCCGTCTCAAAAAAAAAAAAAGCAAACTGCTAATAGTTTTGGTTAAAAATAGTAACAGAATAAAATGTTTAGGATAAAAATAAGGCTTTTGAAGAAAAGGGTTGACAGTGGAAAACCATGTTTTAAGAAATGTTGAGTTTCTGAAAAATTATTAGGCTGAACTATATCAAATTGCCGATAAAGCATATATCCTACCAATAATGAGTATGATAATTTTCAAATCTGAAGGCATACATTTTCATTGCAGAAACCAAAACTCTTTAGTTGCAAAAATTAAACTCAAAAATTTTAAAAGCTAAAAAGATGTCACATGGCTCAATACACTACCTTTCCTGGAGAGTACACACATTTTTAGTATATTTTAAAAGCTCTTGGTCCCATTGCTGAACTTGAGGAAAAAAAGGGTAAACATGCCTGAAAATCTATGTTACCGTTAACCATAATGAGCTTTAGAATTAAGTATTTTCAAGAATTTAAACAACGACTGAAAATTACATTTTAACAGAATATAATTATCTGCTTTAGAACACAAAAGATACTAATACCTTACGAAATTAGGATTTTTCTATTCAAAGCAATATTAGAGAATGAAAAACTGTTAATGACGATATGGCAGTTTCTACCCTTTAAGGACTATAAGTCAAATCTTTTTGAGAATATTACAAGGAAAAAAACTCCAGTAATACTATACATCAGATTCTGTATGGCTTTTTATTATTATTATTGTGTGTGTGTGTGTGTGTGTGTGTGTGTGTGCGTGCGCACGCGTGCACTCTTTAAATGGAGATAAAATACATTTTAGGACTATTCCAAGAATTAAATGAGATAATGTATGTAAAACACTTAGCATGGTGACTGGCACAAATTAGGCACTCAATAAATGGCATCTATCATGCTTATTCTTATACAGAGGGTATGAAACAACCTTGCAACAGGGTCAAGTGGCTTAAAAACCTCTAAAAGAAGTCAATAAAGGCAGATGGATAGAAATCACAGTCAAATATCTAGACTGGTAACCTCAATGAGGAAAGGAACCTTGACTAATCTACCCTTGTACATCGAGAACCTAACAAAGTGCTTGGCACACATAGTAGATGCTCAATAAAGGTTTACTGAAATGAAGTACACGTGAAAGTATCTAGAAGGCTGGGTACAGTGGCTCACACCTGTAATCCCAGCACTTTGGGAAGCCAAGGCAGGCAGATCACCTGAGGTCAGGAGTTTGAGACCAGCCTGGCCAACATGGCAAAACCTTGTCTCTACTAAAAACACAAAATTTAGCAGGGTGTGGTGGTGGGCGCCTGTAGTCCCAGTTACTCAGAAGACTGAGGCAAGAGAATCACTTGAACCCAGGAGGCAGAAGTTTCAGTGAGCTGAGATCACACCACTGCACTGTCTTAGTGACACAGGGAGACTCAGTCCCAAAAAAAAAAAAAAAAAAAAGTATCTGGAAAAGAAAGAAAGAGGAAAAGGAAAGAGGCAGTCTGAGACTGTAAAATAAACTGAGAAATAACTGTCTAAAAAATCAACTGAGAAATAAACAGTCTGAAAAATAAACTGAGAATCCAAAAATTACCATTCCCTCTAAAGAAGTCACTTTGAAAAGTAAATTAAAAACCTAAGTATTTTTAGATCAATGTATAAAAACTCCCCCCAGACTGGTCTCTTTAATAATGACTTAGTCCCGGCCGGGCTTGGTGGCTTAAGCCTGTAATCCCAGCACTTTGGGAGGCCGAGGCGGGTGGATCACGAGGTCAAGAGATCGAGACCATCCTAGTCAACATGGTAAAACCCCATCTCTACTAAAAATACAAAAAATTAGCTGGGCATGGTGGCACGTGCCTGTAATCCCAGCTACTCAGGAGGCCGAGGCAGAAGAATTGCCTGAACCCAGGAGGCGGAGGTTGCGGTGAGCCGAGATCGCGCCATTGCAGTCCAGCCTGGGTAACAACAGCAAAACTCTGTCTCAAAAAAGAAAAAAATAAAATAAAATTACTTAGTCCCCTCCCAATTGCTTTTTGGCAAATGTGTCAAATATTTGAAGGAAATATTTTAAAACTTAATCTAAATAAATGTTATGTGCATCTTCAAAGGAGGAAAAATTACCCAAAACATTCAGGAATCTTTTCCAACTTCATTTCAAAGACATTCAAATTAACTTAATTCATAGTTCATCCATCTACTTACATATGAAAATGAGCTTACACTTTTATCTACAAGCAAGTTGTAAATAGACATACTTCACTTTCACAAGTTTGAGTGCATACCCCAGAAAAGAAAGAATAAAGAAAACTCACTCTTTGAGAAGTGGGCAGTTCCACAGAAGTACAAAAGAATGGCTAACAAAACTTCCCTCCTATGTTTCAGTCGAGTGTATTATTAAGGGTGTGGCTTTTGCTTTCTGTAAAATTGGTCAGTTTCTGAATAAGAATAGGGTGCTATAGTGGCTCCCTCCTGTGTTTCAGGAGCCACCTACCCGTTAAAGCCCTTGTTTACAGCACAGTCTGCTCAGTTTCAGAATCCTTACATACTGAAAACTCAAAATTCTCAGTGCAGTGGTCAAGGGACCAGTGGAATAGGAAAATATGATCCTATCTTCCCCATCCTAACCCCAAGGAAAAGAGAGAATCAACAAACATTTTTTTCTAAGACTTCTCCAAGATAGCACCCATCACCCCACTATAGCACCCTACTCTTATTCAGAAACTGACCAATTTTACAGAAAGCAAAAGCCACACCCTTAATAATACACTCAACTCTGTACAGTGCTTGGTTTCTGTGCTAAGTACATTTCCAGACAGAGAGTTGGAGCTACATCTCCTGAGCCTACTTCAAATTAACATCTGTGAACAGTGAGAAGTTACAAATCAAATAATAAGCCCAAAATCAACTGCTGAAAGGAGGTTGGGGGGGGGGGAAATCATTAAATACCTCCATCTTTCTTAATGAAATGACAATGCTTTTCCGCAAAACAAAACACCAAAGCTACCAGTTCATACTACACAGTAGTTTGCAGAATACCAATCTACAGTACACAGTAAAATTATTCTTAAATTATCGTTTGCTTCCTATGGTGCTCTGAAAAGTAGGAATGCATGAAGTCAGATAAGGGCTATTGTTCAATCACTGACAGCATTAAAATTATCTTTAAATCTAATTTCTGGAAAGTTCTGCAATAGCAGTTTAAAAAGTAAATCAAATTCTAATGAGAAAAAAGTCTAGTTCAAAATCAGAAAATACACTTTGAAGATATTCACAATTTAAACTAAGAAGCAAGAATGTCACAGGCAGCAAGGTGTGTAACATCTGTGAGTAGCTGATACAAAAAAAGATTTCTCTGGAATTAAGGATTGAAAATACTTATCAAATACTATCTAATATGATCTTTTTAAGTCTCTTGTCTCCACTAACAAAAGCTTCCAATACAAAGATTTTCACACCTTACGCATACCCACATACTTCACAAATTAAGAACTAGATGAAAAAAACTAAAATTTAAAGGTATCTAAAATACACTATTTGAAACAGCAGAGACTTATCTTTACATTCATCTATCAGACCTACTAGTAAAGATCTTCTGAAATGGATCGTCATTTCAAACAAGATTGTTCGATCTGCCATTCCGTATGAATGGAGCTAGGGAGACTAATTCTCAAAACCTTCTCAGGAGATGCTTTATTACAGCTCCAGTTTCAATTTCCTGCGACTCAAAACAGCTACGTACAGAAAATAGCTCATACATAGGGAGAAAAATCAGAATACAGGGGAGCGCTCCACTCTTTTGTTTTGGTGGCAGAAGCTGCGAAAATAAAGGTTCACTGGAACCATCTGCACCTATCCCCACCCATCACAGCCCTGCAAAGCACTTTTACCCATCCGTTCCTAAAGACTCTCTAGCCCCCGAGATCGGCAGAATCCGTGGCTTTCCACGTCTCAAAGGATGGGCGGGGGAGGCTGCGAGGAAGGACACAGATCCTTTGAGGACAGAGGGACAAGAAGATGTAACCAGATGGGGAGGATGGGACGCGTCACGGAGACCCGGAGGCTTCCAAATTCCCTGGGAGAAAAGCCCTTTAGGGGAAACAGAGAATGCTGCCTGTTGAGGGATAAGGACAGAGGGACAATGCTCCGAAAGAGGAGGCAGGCACACTCCTAGTAGATCCAGGAGGGCGTGAACTAGGTAGCTCTGAACTCGGAGCCCAAAATGGGTAGAGACAGCCTCAAGCAGAACCGTACCGCGAAGCTGAGACTTACGGTTACTGCTCCCGCCGAAGGTAAAGGTCGGTGGACCCTGCAGCTCCGCAGTTCCGCCTCCGCCGCCCCTGCCTCTACCGCCGAGCTGATGACCTCAGGTACCCCGCCGCCCCACCCACCCCGACGGGTGCCCGTTCCTCGCCGGCCCGGGTGCACCCGACAGGCGAAGGCTGATGTGGCCGAAGGTGCGCACTGGCGGCCCGCGAGCAGTACTGCGAGGGCCGGAGGCGCCCGCGGCGAGGCTCAGACAGGGAGGGTGCCCCCCATCCCTCTCCGGCCGCCGCCGCGCCGCCTCACTCTGGGGAGGGGAAGAGGGGGCGGTGGCTCTTGCCTCCGCCTCGCGGTCAAGTCCGGCTCATGCTCCAGCCTTGCACGCGCTCAGGCCAGGCCGTCCTCTTCCCCTCCCCCGGCTCCGGCTCCGGCTCCGGCTCAGCTGCTGGCACCCCCGACACCACCACTCTAGTCTCCTAGTCTCCTGCCACCAGCCCCTGAGACTGCAGGTCCACCAAAAAGCAGCAGGAACGGCAGCAGCCCGGCCGCCGACCCGGAAGCTCTTCCTCCGCCAACCGCGAGGCTGCAAAGGGTGTGAACCCGGAAGCGATTTCCTAGCCACGGTAGCTGCAGGGTGGAAAGCTAAGGCCTTTGAAGACCTGGGAGCCAATAGTTTCGGGAGAGGGTGAGGGGTGAATGATGCTGAGGTGCGAGGAGAGGGAAGGACAATAAAGAGCAGGTGGGCAAGAGGGTCTCGGACTCCAGAGACCTGAGCTTTTGGGGCCGCGGGTGGGGCACCGGGTGGGGAGCGCGGGGGAATACTCCGGACGGCTTGGCAGCTGAGGGTTTGTCTGTCACGGGAAGCTGGGCCAGGCTGCTGTGCCTGGGAGAAGGGAAGGAGGAATGAGAAAGCGGTGACGGTCCCTGCCCCGCCTCGCCAGGTGACTGTACCACTCATTTAGTTGATGTAGCGGCCGGAGAGGCACTCGCGGCAGTCTGTACGGGTGGGACCTCTTGGTTTCCTTCGGGGAAACAGAAGGAGCAAGTTCGACTCCAGCGAGGGAAAACAGAGGTGGGAGACTGAACCATCTCCACATCTGGTTGCCCCAGGCAAGGAGTTTATTTTCCACATTTAGTTACAGAGAAACCAAAGCCACTTTTTGGGTGGAAACTCTTTGAGCAAAGAGACATTTTTCCCTGGTAGTGGACGTTGATGGGTGGTGGCGCAGGAAAAAACCTCCCAGGAAGAGTGATTACGTATTTTTGTCATTGCAGGGAAAGCGATTCACAGCTTGTTGTTCTAACTCACTTCTCCCTCTCTAACTCACTTCTTGCCTCTACACCTTTTTCCACCTTTTAAGGTTTTTTTGCTTTCATCGCTTTTTCTGCATGGTGTTTTTAGCCTCTCCAGAAGTCTTTTATCTCGCTAGCCTAACTCAGGATCTCAGCCTCGTTATTTTCTTACTCTTCAGGAGTGCTTATGTGTCTTTACAGTTTCTGTTTGCAAACACTGTCTAGCATACTAAGAGGATATTAGCAAACCTGTTCCATGGACACTAAATGGCAGTTGTACACCTCCCCTCACCAGTCATAGTGACAACCAGAAATGCCCTCCATATTTTCCAGTGATGCCAGGTAGGTGCCACCTCCCAATTAAGGACCACTTACACCACTTTATTTATAAGGTCTCATTACTTAGGCAGTATATTATCATTTGTGCCTAATATTTTCTAGAATAGAGTGAGACATATAACAAAATGCCACGTTTCCTGTTCTTATTCAGTTGAACCCTCATCTCAGACTCACTCTAAACATACTGCAAACTCTGATTATACCTTTCTCATATTTTAGCTCAAACTACTCATTTTCTATCAATTTGTATGTGTTTCTGCCTTAGCAGTTTTACCTTCTTCTGTTAGTTGCTTTTGTTATTTTCCTGACTTAAGCCTTCGTTTCCTTCTTTCATGTCTCTGGAAGAATGTAGATTTTAATTAGTCAAGTAGGAATAGTTCTTGAAAATGGTTGTAAAAATATTTTGGGGACATGGTAAAAAAAGTATTTGGTTTAAAAACAAATACTGTAACAAAAAATGTTTTTAAAAACAAATGTAACTCATAGTTATGTCATTTTAAAATCACATTTGTTCACCTTTTAAATTAACTTTCAGAGTTCTGTGCCATAGTAAATATTCTAGGGAGGTGATGGGTATTGACAAAGTGCTTTGCTAGTAAATGTTTTCTTAACATGAGTTGACCAAGACAGGAATTGATTTGCTTTAAATTGTGTTCAGAAAACTAAGAATTACTTGATGTGTCTTTTAGGTGTGTAATAGAAAAAATGGTTTCTGTAATTGTGCCCATATATCATACAGTGTATTCACAATACAATGTCTTTCTTTTTGGGGCTTACAGTCTGAAATTCATCTGTCTCATAATTTGTAAAGGTTTATTATCTCGAAGTCAGTATTAATCTGTGGTGAAAAGTAATTGCTAAATAGAAATTCTGAGAAGAAAAAGGCCTCATCCTTTTCATATGCCGTAGGAAGGTCTGTTGCATGAGGTGGGTTTTAAGAATGATCTTATGAAAAAATTGAACTGAAAAAAATTTCATAAAGGATATAATGATAAAGAATGATATGTCCTGAAAACTTGTCACTCAATGAAATGTCTCTATCCTAATGTTTTACTGAATTTTTTCTAGTGAAATATCTGCAGGCTTTTTTTGGACCTAAATCAATGATTTTAAATTCTAAAATCAATTAAGTTTTAGAATTTAAAATAAATTTTTAAATTATTAAAATTATTTTATTTAAAATTTTTGTACAATAGTTTTAGTGGTTGTTTTAATCTTAGGCTAAAGTTTATGTAGAATGCCAAAAGTTACTGTATTTTAAAAGAATTTCTTCTTAAGGTAATTTTACAATCATAAGGCACTTTTTAATTATTATTTAGAGAAGTGAATTAAAAGTTAGAGTGATATTTTCTTTCTTTTTTTTTAATGAATGAGAGGTTCTTATGTTGCCCAGGTTGGTTGGCCTCAAACACACAGCCTTGGCTCCTCAAGTGCCAGGACAACTGGCCTGAGCCACCACAGCCCCAACATCTTCAATTACCGTGGAAAAAGCAGGATAAATTACTCAAATAACATTCAAAATCCTTTCTTGAAAATGGTCTCTCTTGAGAGTTGCAGCAGTAGGGAACTCATTAAATATGAACGGATAATTTTAATGCCTAATGGTTTTTTAAAAAACTGAAGAAAGTTCATCTCAACATAACCAGGAAAGAAACTCTTTGTTCAGTGTTCTTTTAGAAATTTGCTGACAAATAAATGAGGAGAACCTTTAAAAAAAAAAAAAAGGTAAAAAATATTCAGTACAGAAAGATGCATTTTAGTGTAGCCATGGAAGAAATTAGTAGTCAATGAAGAGAACTATTATACAACCAAGATTGTAGTTGAAATTCAGTCACTGGTTGGAAATTGTGCGATGGAGACTTAAAATTTAGAGGGCAAAAGATATGCATGTACAGACACACACACACATACACACAGTGACTATATTTGGAATAAAAAATTTGGATTATTGCTGGGCATGGTGGCTCATGCCTGTAATCCCAGCACTTTGGGAGGTCGAGATGGGTGGTTCACTTGAGGTCAGGAGTTTGAGACCAGCCTGGCCAATATGGTAAAACTCTGTCTCTACTAAAAAATGCAAAGATTAGCTGGGCGTGGTGGCACATGCCTGTAATTCCAACTACACAGGAAGCTGAAGCAGAATTACCTGAACCCGGGAGACAGACGTTACCATGAGCCAGGATCGCGCCACTGCACTCTGGCCTGGGTGACTGAGTGAGACCCTCTATCAAAAACAAAACAAAACAGGCCGGGTGTGGTGGCTTATGCCTGTAATCCAAGCACTTTGGAGGCCAAGGCAAGTGGATCACCTGAGGTCGGGAGTTCAAGACCAGCCTGACCAACATGGTGAAACCCCGTCTTAAAAAAAAAATAAATAAAAAATAAAAAAAGTAAAAAAAAAAATTGAATTATCAAGAAAATTGATAAGGGAAATGGAAAAGATTCTTAAATCACCATCAGAAAGCTTTTATCAACTGACCAATGGTTTTGGTTCCTTGATAAGCACCTCCAAAGAAAATTATATACTGTAGCTCATCCAAATGTCTAATATCAAAATTCTCCCTGCTAAAAGTTCTGGGGTAAATGTCAATGGATATAAAACAGCTACCATTTCCAGCTTCCAAACTGTTAACACTATAACTAACATTCACCTTTGTAATTTATGGAAAAAGTGTATGTTATTCTGAATTACTACTTTGTCATTATTTACAAGATATTTTATAATCATAATCACTTTTTTTGGCCCCAAAGGCAGAAAGGCAGATGCTTTTTTTAAATTTTTTTATTAAAAAAATTTTTTTTTTTTTTAAAGATGGGGTTTCACCATGATAGCCAGGCTGGTCTTGAACTTCTGACCTCAGGTGATCCACCCACCTCAGCCTCCGAAAGTGCTAGGATTACAGGCATGAGCCACCACGCCCAATGAAAGGCAGATTCTTACTATGCAGTTAACACCTATGAAAATGTATATCCCTATTTTAAAAGGGAAAAAAGGAATACAAAGGAAATCTTACATTATAAGCTAAGGTTTTGAGTAGTTGAACAGTAGAGATACAATCAAAGTCATTTCTGGCTTGCCTTTTAGGCACTATATATTCCAGGATAAAGAACATTTTATTTATTTTTATTTTTTTCAGCATGATTATGTGGAAATAAAAGTTTTCAATTTAAGATGCATTACTTTGGGGCCAGGCGTGGTGGCTTAAGCCTGTAATCCCAGCACTTTGGGAGGCCGAGGCGGGTGGATCACGAGGTCAGGAGATCGATTCTGTCCTGGTCAACATGGTGAAACCCCGTCTCTACTAAAAATACAAAAAATTAGCTGGGCATGGTAGCGCGTGCCTGTAATCCCAGCTACTCAGGAGGCTGAGGCAGGAGAATTGCCTGAACCCAGGAGGCGGAGGTTGCGGTGAGCAGAGATCGTGCCATTATACTCCAGCCTGGGTAACAAGAGCGAAACTCCATCTCAAAAAAAAAAAAAAAAAAGGATGTATTACTTTGTTTTTTAACTTGCCATCAAATGTGTGATCTAATCTTTCAAGGGATTTTTTATTTGTTTTATAAAGCAATGGGAAATCCAGAAAACATAGAAGATGCATATGTTGCTGTTATTCGTCCAAAGAATACTGCCAGTCTCAATTCTCGGGAATACAGAGCTAAGTCATATGAAGTAAGAACATTTAATAATAATTTATTTCTACCATTCAATGTCATTCTGTATTATCATTCACATATAAAGCCTTATATCTTGTAAATTCTTACTAACAAGCCAATTATTTTAGGTCCTGCCCATTATTTTGTATATTTTCTGCTGTGTGCCTTTTGACCATTTGCTGTTTGTTGACTTGTAGGTTATGAGCTATTAAAGGTCTTGTTTGAGTTTTTCTTAGAATATATAGTTTTCAGTTTTAATGCAATTTATGAAATGCCTCTCAAAAATTAAAAAACCACTGTAAAAGTCAGCTCACTTAAAATTTCAATCAAACTTTGTTTCTGTTTATTTTCCCAACTATTTTTAACAATTCATTTTAAAATACCTTTTTGCCTTAAATTTTAGACAATTAAGTTACTTTTCTGTAGTCTTGAATTTATTAGTAAACATACAATTAAGACTATATGTACATACATATATATAACTGAATTATCTTTTTTATACAACAGATTTCAAGTGATATGAAATATTTCTAACTTAATTTATCTAGCATTTTCTTTAAACTGCTTTTTTAAGGTTGTCTGAAACCTGTTAAAGGGCACTATAGGGTTTCTCAGTAGGCTACTGCTTCAGTAGTGCTGTAGCTTACCGTTTCTCACTCCTGGCTACACTGTAGAATCACCTGGGGAACTTTTAAAACAGTAAGAACCAGGTTCCAGACATTCCAGTTTAATAGGTGTGGGATGGGGCTGGGCATTGCTATTGTTTTAAAGCTTCCCAAATTATTCTAATATGCAGCTAGAGTTGAGAAAGATTGCTAGCTTATTGTAGCATTCTAGGGCAAGTACCCTTTATTTTAAGCTTTCTCTTAATGTTGTTTTTCTCATCTAAGATTTTGTTGCATGAAGTTCCCATTGAAGGACAGAAAAAAAAGAGAAAGAAAGTTTTATTGGAAATGAAACTGCAAGGCAACAGTGAAATAACACAAGGCATATTGGATTATGTAGTAGAAACCACCAAACCAATTTCTCCTGCAAACCAAGGTATCAGAGGTAAGAAACTTCTTTTTTAAAAAACACATTGTTTAAAATACTTGTGGAGAAAAATCCTTTAAAAATATGCATATATTAAATGTCTTTTTATGTTCCTTTACATTTAACAAACTTGCAAAAAAACTCAAGTATTTTTTAAGGTACATCCAAGCTATTTCAAGATGTAACTTGCAAATGTTTTAAAAGTTGAAAAGTATTTAAAGAATTCACAATGTTAATAATTTGTTCAATAAAGAGAACGTGAAAGAGTGGTTTGAAAACTAAGAGGTATAAATTACTTTTCCTTTTTATTATTATTATTATTATTCACCTGGGTACAGGTGGGCTGAGGCTGAAAAGGGCGTCAGCCATAAATTACCTTTTCTAGAAGTATAATTCCCTAGGTAAGTGTCATTGAACTACTATTTCTATTTCTCTACTTCAGGACAGAGGAAACTATACTCATCTCTTGATAACTAAGTAAAAGTTAATACTCATGGATTAGGGAAAGTCCTGTAAATTACCACATAGCAGAGGGTTTCTTCCCATTTGATCATAGAAAGAGGACCCTTTTCTGAAAGTCAGACTGAATTGTGGAAGTATTAACCCTGAAAGAATGAGGCCCCATTTAAAATATTACATAATAGATAGACTTTGAAGGTGATTAAAAATTAATGATTATTTTCTCAGGCTGTAGAAACAGATAACCGTCAAACATTATAGTAACTACAAACTATATCTAAGATTCACTTACTACAATAGAAAATAAAGCTAATTCAAAAAGCAGTAGAAAACAGTTGTTAATGAGGTAAAGCATACTTCTATGCCTGCTTTTTCGGTTTTTCAAAACTTTCAGTGTTTTTGTTCCTGTTTTTTGACATTTTTACAGGGATTAGTTGTTTGATTCATCTGTTTCAGTAAAGAGATTGTTTTTGTTGCAGAGGTACAGCCAAATCCTGTGGTTCGATTTATTAGTTATTTTGGATATTTGTTTTCTAGAGTTACATAACTGAGCTTTAAGCCTGTGTTTCATAACTTTTGGAGGTACCATTCACCGTATTTTAGCTCCCTGATAGGTTACTTCCCCTAATTGAACCTGAAGAGTTTTTGTTGGTTGGGACTGTAAACCTTTAAACTCAGGATTATAAGAAGTTCCTGTGGCCAGGCGAGGTGGCTCACACCTGTAATCCCAGCACTTTGGGAAGCCGAGGCGGGCAGATCAGGTCAGGAGTTTGAGACTGGCCTGGCCAGTATGGTGAAACCCCATCTCTACTAAAAATACAAAAATTCGCTGGCTATGGTGGTGCACACCTGTAGTCCCAGCTACTCAGGAGGCTGAGGCAGAAGAATCACTTGAACCCAGGAGGTGGAGGTTGCAGTGAGCAGAGATAAATGCCACTACACTCCAGCCTGGGTGACAAGAGTGAGAGACTCCATCTAAAGAAAAAAAAATAGAAATTCCTACATGTGATCTTTGATAAACACTCCAAGTCTCATAAAGAGAATCTCTTTCCTCTCATTACCAGATTCACTTTATAATAAGATGATCAAGAAAGCAATCTTAGCTTATTAAAAAGGTTGAGGGAGCTGTTGTTTTTGCGAATCAAGGCACGTGAGGACTCTCTTTGGATGCAATAGATTGGTCAGCCTTTTCTACCTCAGTCTTGGACTTCTCTGATAAATTTTCATCTGAACTTGATCTACTGTTGCCAGACTGTTAAAGTTATCAGGGTCTATCCTGACACTAAATCCCTGAGACAGAAATCTGATTAGCCTAAATCACATATTTGAGCTGACAAATCATTATAAACAAGTTATAATTTGTTATGAATTAACTAAGTTCTGCAGCTAGGTCCATTTACCCAGAAGGGATGTGGAAGAGATGTCACTGTTAACAAAAACTTCTTCTGGCCCAGAGGGCTGGGTAGTTTCCCCTAGGAGGAGTTATTAGTGGACAGTCACTGTGAAATATGTCTGGCATAATTTTGCCTTGTATACTCAGACATAAAATGTACTATTATATTTTTAGGGAGCTTTTAAGAAAATAAAGTAGAAAATTTTAATATATTAGTGAGACATACTATATCCTGAATATCTTGTTTTTCAGAATCTACAAAATACCTTTGAAGTAATATGATTACTTATATAAATATCGAATGAAAATCACAAATGACTATTAGCAGTAGTTATGCTTAACATTTTTGTACAGTGCTGTATGTCATTTACAAAACATTACCACACTTAATTATACATGAAATTCTTAAATTGGTCCTGTTGATATGTTCATATCTATAAAATGGGAATGTAGGCATAGGTTGTCACCTCCTATAAGCAGTTTCCATTGGTAGAGGAATTAGGACTAGAACCTTCATCTCCTAACTTGTCAGTGCTTCCCTGCCCCACTGACGGATCTCACAGTTACATATGTAATTTGCAAAATAGGCAATTAAAGAATCCTAACTGGATTTGGGGAAACATCAAGGCAGGAAAGATTAAGTAGAGACAAGACTTCAAGCCAGACAAAATAAATAGTGCCTCTGAAGTATATTAGAAAGTTGTTCTGTATCTAACACTTAAATTTTGGACAAGTGTTCATTTTGTAAAATAATTGGGGGCTATAATATAGATTTGAATAATCACAAATATTGGCTCTGATTATTTTCTGAATAAATCAATCTATTTGAAGTCTTACATCATTCACCTGCCCACAGAAGGCATCCCTGCCAGCTAGGCATTTCTACCTGGGTCAGGAACAAAGTTCTGTTTCTTAGGGTGAGGAAATTGGAAGCGTTGAAAAATATGACAAAGGTCTAGAGGATGAGGGGTTTTAGAATACAATACTTGGTTATTATTTATAGCCCCCTTACTGCCAATTCAGGAAAAACAGATTAAGAATGATAGTTAGAATTCAGAACAATAGTTTGTATCTCAATTAGAGTTTAATAAAACCTGAAATTGAGGATGGAGGTTAAATATTAAATGAAGAGCTATTAAACATTAAGACTTTGAAACTTACATATGCCAGAATATAATAAAATTCTTACTATCTCTATCCTAGTCAACTGAGGTAGTATATGCCTATTGACCCTACAGGGTACATTGTTGTTCTGCTTTCTCAGTTCTCAACAGAACAGTTTTCCTTGCTATGCTTAGGAAGCTTCTCTAGGGGGTCAAGACCAGGACCCTAAATCTACAAGGATTGTCCACAGAATGATTTTGCATTTATCACTTTTTATTAGTACACATAATAAAATTGACAGTATATTTCAGTTCCTCTTAATGCTGCCTTTTAAAATATCTGTTTTCTAATTCTCATGGTATTTTATAAGATTTAAAAGTGTATTATTTTTGTGTTTGCTAACTTTTTAAAAATGATTAGGAAAACGAGTTGTACTAATGAAAAAATTTCCTCTCGATGGAGAGAAGATGGGCAGAGAAGCATCATTATTTATTGTTCCATCAGTTGTCAAAGGTAAAGTCTATGTGTCTTATAAATCTTTACGTACTTTAGATGCTAAGTACAAGTCTATTGAGAAACTTAGGAATTTGTATTCAGAGTTACTATTATAATATTATAAAATACATATTTTAAAATTAATAGAAGAAGGGAAATATGTAACTTAAAGATATTTTAACTTCAAAATAACATACAGGTTGACTGAACAGTAATGTTTTTGTTTTAGTTTTTAAAAGTAAGATGATTAAGTGAGGATGGAAGGCATAATTGAAATTAAGAGTGCTCAGGTTGCAGTAAAGGATTTTTCTGAAGATATGTCATAGATAAAATAGAAATTGATCCTTAAGTATTCTGGAAAATTAACAGAGTATGATCAGAACCTATACTGTATTTGGGATAAGAGTCAATAATATTTCTAAAATAATCTGCCTAGAAGTATTGGTAATATTTTTAAAAAGGAAATCTAATGTGAAAATATAATATTTTATTCCTTTGACACCCTAGCATAATAAACAAATTGAGTTTCAGTATAGACCTTACAGTCCTATAATTTTGTGACCTTGGGCAAATCTCCTCTTTTATCTTTAGCTCTTCATTTGTAAAATAGGGACTGTATTGCTACCTGCTCCCACTTGTTTCATGGTGTTGGAAAAATTCAGTGAGGTATTGGATATTAAATCACCTTTGAAACTATAGGGTACTGGCATCATGTAAGATAGTAGTAATACTGATGATATACTGTATTAATCACCCACCATGGACATCCCATTAGCCTGCTGCTACAGGGTACTCACATGTATTTTATTAGCCAGCTCTAGCATTCCAGATATATGTTTCCAGGCATACTTAGGTTAAAAAGTTCAATATCTTAAGTAGTGTTGGAAATCTTACTAATGAGTTTTACAACATTGTTGAGGAAGAGAAAGAGGAAACAGTGTCTGCAGTCCTCCAAAATTCTAAATGTGGCATTTACCTGAGTTGGCAAGGTCACAGAGCTAGTCATCACTTGAATCCAGGCCTTCTAATTCCAAATCTAGAATAATTTATACTTAACAAGTTTTAATTTTTTAACATATATTTGTAGATGAAAACATGCAGGTTAAGCCTTTTATATGATAGCATAATTCTTCATTTTTCTTTTTCAGATAATACTAAATATACATATACCCCAGGGATGCCCAATTTTTTACTGCTTACAAGATATTATGAGAGTCTGTAGTGAATCCAGTACTCATTTTGCTACACTTACAGCAAGGATGTTACTAGCCTTGGATAAGTAAGAAATGCCATTAAAAGTATCTTTTAATTAATCAAATACATGTTTATAGTAAAAATTAGTTCTGATAGAGAAAGACACTTTGAAGAAAATAATGAAAATAATATATGTATTAAGAAATGGTAAGTTTTCGGCCGGGCGCGGTGGCTCAGCCAGTAGTCCCAGCACTTTGGGAGGCCGAGGCGGGTGGATGACGAGGTCGAGAGATCGAGACCATCCTGGTCAACATAGTGAAACCCCGTCTCTACTAAAAATACAAAAAACTAGCTGGGCGTGGTGGCGCGTGCCTGTATCCCACCTACTTAGGAGGCTGAGGCAGGAGAATTGCCTGAGCCCAGGAGGCAGAGGTTGCGGTGAGCCGAGATCGCGCCATTGCACTCCAGCCTGGGTAACGAGAGCGAAACTCCGTCTCAAAAAAAAAAAAAAAAAAAAAAAAAGAAATGGTAAGTTTTCAATTATAAAAATGAAAAAAACCAAGATAAGGTTGTCCTGGCCTGCATACAGAATGTTAATTTTATTTTTCAGAAATGGCAAACACTGCCCTGACTTAAGCATTAAGATTCCCCTGTTATGAAACTATACATTTAACATTGAGTTAATCTCATCAGCGAATAAGTCATTCACCCTCTTATGTCTTTGTCTTTCTGTAAGAACAGGGCTAATCTCACCTATATATCAGTAGTTTGAATTTTAAAAGTACTTTTATGTTTTTTTGAAAGGAGTTTCTATTACTATAATGGCATATACATTTTTAAAAAATATTTGCTATGTCCATTAACAAAACTTTTATTAATAATGAAGTATTTGTACACTGACTTGATCTTTACAAATCATATGAACATATTAGCACATGTACCCCTAAAGTATGTAGAGTACTATGCATGTTTTTTTATTATTAAAAAAAATCAATTTGCAATATAAATAAAAAATATTTAAAATAATGAAGTACTTAACTAACACAAAATTGAAATTATAAAAATCTGGAGGTAGTATTTACAAGTATCATATATCAGAGTTAGACAGTAACCTACCTTTTTCATCTTCTCTTTCAAATGGTACTTCTACCTCTTTTTTTAATTTTGCCAGGTGGTTAGATGAACGTCACGCACAATCTCACTTTATTCCAGCTTTATTCCGACCTTCTCCTCTTGAGCGGATAAAAACTAATGTCATAAATCCTGCGTATGCTACTGAATCAGGTCAGACAGAAAACTCACTACATATGGGCTATAGTGCACTAGAAATAAAGAGTAAAATGTTAGCCCTAGAGAAAGCAGATACCTGTATTTACAACCCTTTGTTTGGATCAGATCTTCAATATACAAATCGGGTAAGAGTTGAATGAGTTTTCACTCTGATTTAAAAGATATTTTGTCTCAAGTGTAATTTTTTTTCTGAGATACACACATCTTACTAATTATAAACATGTAGGCCTGATACAGTGGCTCACACCTGTAATCCCAGCACTTTGGGAGGCCAACGAGGGTGGATTGTCCGAGGTCAGGAGTTTGAGACCAGCCTGGCCAATATGGTGAAACCCTGTCTCTACTAAAAAAACAAAAATTAGCTGAATGTGGTGACGTACCACTGTAGTCTCAGCTACTCCAGAGGCTGAGGCGGGAAAATCGCTTGAACCTGGGAGGCAGAGGTTGCAGTGAGCTGAGATTGTAGAGCAAGACTCAGTCTGAATAAATAAATAAATAAAATTGTAAAATATAAACATGTAAACATTAAGATGACAAAGCTCTTAATGGATTTTTGTTATTGTTTTCCCTTTCTAGGTAGATAAAGTGGTAATAAATCCATACTTTGGTCTAGGAGCTCCAGACTACTCAAAAATCCAAATACCTAAACAGGAAAAATGGCAGAGAAGCATGAGCAGTGTCACAGAAGACAAGTACTGTTTCGGTTTTACTCCACATTGCTTTTATAAAAACTTACATTCTTACTAAGTTTACCTTGCCCCAAGGGAAAAAAAAGAGAAAAACAAAAAAAAAACTTACATTCTAATTTAAAGTACTGTTTAAAATTATGTATGCAGTTCGTATGCATTGTAATCACTATTGAGTTCACAGCTGCTTGGTGATATAGAGCTTTCATAGATGTGTCACATTTGTTTTAAAACAATTTTTACAGTCCTGTTTGTATTTTTCAAAATTTATTTTTAATGATTAGGGAACGACAATGGGTAGATGATTTTCCTCTCCACCGAAGTGCCTGTGAAGGAGATTCAGAATTACTAAACCGTCTTCTCAGTGAAAGATTTTCAGTCAACCAATTAGATAGTGACCACTGGGCGCCCATTCATTATGCATGCTGGTAAATTGGATACTTATTCTTTTCTTTTTAGAAAGAGTACATTTTTAATTATAAATGTTAGTGCCTCTTTTCAAAACTGTGCTCATTCCAGATGCTTTTTCTCTACCATGTTTGCCTTAGGAGTTTCCTGTTTTGATCTTAGATGATTGTATATGTATCAGTGTTCAGAATCCTAAGGTTTGCTCCATGGAAAAAGTACTGTCAGTGTTCTTAGGCATTTCCAGGTCATATAATAGGATACTTAATGACTAGTAAATATCATTGTAGAGTACAAGGTTACTTATTCACTTGTGCAGTTTCCCTTGTTTTGTATTGGGATTACATTATGTTTATCCTTATTGTAAAGTTTGCATGTGTTAACTACTTATGATTTGACCTTGCATCTTGCATCTTGTATCCCTTTAGTGCTTTGAGAAACTGTGGTTATCCAGATGTCCTCAAAAGCCTTCATTAGAACCACAGCTTTCCATTATGTTAGATACTACAGTTGGGACAGGATTGGGGTTAGCTCTTTCCACTAGTTGCACAGTGTAGCTCTTGGTCTCCTAGTCCTCTCACATAATTATTTTTCCCCTCAGTTGTGCTGAGTTGTTAGTGTTTAGAGTAGTAGTTTCATTTTCTAGAAAGGATATGATAATTTTTTACATCATTTCTGTGGGACAGTTGCTCTTGACCTATTGTTTAAAGTAAGCTTCCTTCACTAATTTAAGAAGTACCGCATTATTTACTGCCTTGTTAAATGTCCACAGTGTCTTAGTTGTATTAGATTGAGCAAGGTACTTCACTTCTCTGCATGTCAGTTTATTTACCCATATATAAAATGCAATAATTAGATCATTTCTAGAGTTTCTTCCAACTCAAAATTCTTTTGATTTCTCTGATTCTAATATTTGTAATCAAGCAGCTAATTATAGTTGCTTTATGTGTGTGTGTATACATAAAAGATCTTTTTTCTGTTTCCTTAAAAATGTGCTCTTATGTTTCCTATTATATGAAATTTTATTTATTTATTTATTTTTTTTTTTGAGACAGAGTCTTGCTTTGTCACTCAGGCTGGAGTGCACTGGTGTAGTCTCAGCTCACTGCAACCTCCACCTCCCGGGTTCAAGCAATTCTCCTGCCTCAGCCTCCTGAGTAGCTGGGATTACAGGTGCCTGCCACTACACCTGGCTAATTTGTCTATTTTTAGTAGATACAGGGTTTCACCATGTTGGCCAGCATGGTCTTGAACTCCTGACCTCATGATCCACCCTGGCCTCCCAAAGTGCTGGGATTACAGGCCTGAGCCACCACACCCAGCCAAAACATTGTCTTTACTAAAAACGCAAAAATTAGTTGGGTGTGGTGGTACACACCTGTAATCTCAGCTACTTGGGAGTCAGACACAAGACTCTCGAGCCCAGGAGGCAGACGTTGCAGTGAGCTGAGATTGTACCACTGCACTCCAGCCTGGGCATAGAGTGAGACTTAGTCTCAAAAACAAGATTCAGTTCAAATTGTTCTTCTATCAAAACACTTTACAGGTCCATTGAGACAAATCATATCTGTTTTCTGATATTTTTAAAGCATTAATAAACATTACTGTACTTAAATTTTACAGCATTATGTAACTTACCCCACGTTTATGTTTTCCTCTGATTATACTGTAAACCATTCAGAGTAAAGATGACATATTTCGTATATTTTTGTGTCTCTCACATTTTCTAATATAGTAACTATATATAGAATTATGTCTTTGGGACTATTTTGTAAACAGTCAGGCCTAAGTGAAAAGCATTCTTAGTACATTTTCTTATATGAGTTACTTTTTGTTTCTGAAATGATTTTTGACTAATGATATCTAACTTTTGTACTTCATGTGGGATGTTTCTTTGTCATCTGCTCTCTCTTGAATTAAGGTTATATTTTCTTCCAGTTTATCAGAAACAGAAGCAGTTTAATTGAACCAGAATGATTAATAAGAAACCCCGAAAATATTATGTCACTATCTTCAAAATCCTCTGCTCTCTGTCCTAGAAAATTCTTAGATTTATTTGAGATATCATCTAAAACTTGGAGTTTTAAAAACATTTCAGATGACTTTTTTAGGTAAGGTTTTTTTTGTTTTTTTATGTACAGGTACGGAAAAGTTGAGGCTACTCGCATATTGTTAGAGAAAGGAAAATGCAATCCAAACCTTTTAAATGGACAACTTAGTTCTCCTCTTCATTTTGCTGCTGGAGGAGGACATGCTGAAATAGTACAGATTCTCCTAAGCCATCCAGAAATTGATAGAGTAAGTTATTTTCCAGGTTTTTAAAAATAATTTTCAAGCAGTGAATAACAAGTAATGACACTAAAATGTACAATTGTATGCTTTAGAGTTCATCTGAAAAATAAAAATAAATTCTATTACCTTATAGAATAAGTAATGGAATATATGGGTTATGCTTTTGAATATACTTTTTTAAAGATTTTTTAAAATACACCTCACATAAAACTTACATTAACCATTTTTAGGTGTACAGTTCAGTGGCATTAACTACATTTACATTATTGTACAACCATCACTACAGTCTGTCTTCAGAATGTATGTAGAATTTAACCTCTTTTCATTTTATATTGTATTTCTCCAAAAAATCTTGAAGAAGGAAAAAGATTTTCCAGAATTTCATAAAGGAAATTCATAAAAAGTGTATCATAAAGGGGAAAATAATAGTTTTTTTTGTTTTTTTTCTTTCTTTTTTGAGACGGAGTTTCGCTCTTCCTACCCAGGCTGGAGTGCAAATGGCGTGATCTCAGCTCACCGCAACCTCTGCCTCCTAGGTTCAAGCAATTCTCCTGCCTCAGCCTCCTGAGTAGCTGGGATTACAGGCACGTGCCACCATGCCTAGCTAATTTTTTGTATTTTTAGTAGAGACGGGGTTTCACTATGTTGACCAGGATGGTCTCAATCTCTTGACCTCGTGATCCACCCGCCTCGGCCTCCCAAAGTGCTGGGATTACAGGCATGAGCCACTGCGCCTGGCGAAAATAACAGTATTCACAAAACCTTTGTTATGTCTATATCAGAACTTTTAAGAAAACAGTAATCATATTGATTAGTGTTTTGAGTCTTTTATCTTTGCAACTCTTGTTTATTTAAATATAATCTGAAATAAGTGTAGTTAATATTTACTTAGTACTTGACAAGATTCTTTTTTTTTGAAACTTTGATTAATTGGATGACATTTTCCCTTTGAATAACATAGTATGTAATGCCTTTTCTCTTCTCCTCCCCTGCCCACATTCTAGCATATAACAGACCAACAAGGAAGATCTCCATTAAATATTTGTGAAGAAAACAAACAAAATAACTGGGAAGAAGCTGCAAAATTATTGAAGGAAGCCATTAACAAGCCAGTAAGAATTATCTTCATAGTTAGAGCCAAGCATAGTATTTAAATTAACAAGATTTAATTTTGAAGATCTGTGGTAATAATGGAAAGACAAATGAATAGATGCCTTCCTTACTGCTAGAAAACCTCACTGTAGGCCAGGCATGGTGGCTCACGCCTGTAATACCAGCACTTTGGGAGTCCAAGGCAGGTGGATCATGAGGTCAGTAGATCAAGACCATCTTGACCAAGGTGAAGCCTAGTCTCTAGTAAAAATACAAAAATTAGCTGAGCGTGGTGGAGTGTGCCTGTAGTCCCAGCTTAGGCAGGAGAATCACTTGAACCCTGGAGGCAGAGGTTGCAGTGATCTGAGACTGTGCCTTTGCACTCCAGCCTGGCAACACATCAAGACTCCATCTCAAAAAATAATAATAATAAAATAAAAACCTCATTGTAGACTGTATAGGTATTACATTTGTTATTATCCCTAACATTTGGACATTTATTCTTGCATAACAAAATAAAACTTGCAAAAATAAATAAATAAAACTTTCAGAACACTTAAAATTCATGTAATTTCTATACTTGATATGTGGATTACACATAATTTTAATCTATTCATTGATGCATATCCCTCTACTTAGGCCTTTTAAGCAACATTTTATATTTTTCTCTAAAAGCATTGCATATCATTCATTAGTTTAGTCTCAGCAAGTTAGTTTATATATAACAGACTCATTTTCCTCCTCATAAAAGTAAAATAGATGTTTCTAAGCTTTTTTATTCTGCTAATTCAGCCTGGCCTTTCCATCTAATTATACCTAGAAATAAACTCATAAATCTAATGCTGGCACACATAGCTATTAAAATTATAATTGCATAAAGTTTAATTTATAATCAGTAGTGACATTAAAATACAGAAGAATTAACAATGAGAAGAAACTCAGTTATGCCTGAAAGTTATGATGATGATAAAAATTATCATTAATTTAATTATTTGTGTTTTTGTGAGACACAGTCTATGTTGCCCAGGCAGGAGTACAGTGGCTGTTCACAGACAATCATGATGCATTGTAGCCTCAACCTCCTAGGCTCAGGTGATCCTCCCACCTCAGCCTCTTGAGTAGCTGACACTACAGACATGTGCCACCACTCTTGGCTATCATTAATTTAAAAACTGTTTGAAATAAAAAGATTTATACAAACAAATAAAGTATAAAAGTTTATATTCACAGATATAACCCATTTATCTAAGCCTGTCCAGGCATTAACTATCAGCTATACAATAAGTATTTGTTGAATATCTCTGTGAATTTAACATGACAAAATGATGAAAATTGTAAGGAATATTTAGTCTCTGCCTTTAAGTAATAGTACACACATACCACACACTCATGCATTGTGTCAAAAACACTTTAACTCCAGGAGCATAAGACAGAGTCAAGGAAATAGATAAGACAGAGTCAAGGAAATAGATAAGTAGTACAGGAACCCTTATGTTATACTTTGCAATTTATTTTCTAACTATGGAGTTTTAACACATTTTTATTCCTGACATAATTTTTATATTGTGAATGAATAAGAAGGATGAAGTCCTTTTATCCAAAATGAACTGGCCTGGAAGTTATTTGGGGACATCAGTTGCTTCCTATCACAATAAAAATCCATTGAGAAGGCCAGGCGCAGTGGCTCAAGCCTGTAATCCCAGCACTTTGGGAGGCCAAGGTGGGTGGATCACGAGGTCAAGAGATCGAGACCATCCTGGTCAACATGGTGAAACCCTGTCTCTACTAAAAATACAAAAAATTAGCTGGGCATGGTGGCGCGTGCCTGTAATCCCAGCTACTCGGGAGGCTGAGGCAGGAGAATTGCCTGAACCCAGGAGGCGGAGGTTGCGGTGAGCCGAGATCGTGCCATTGCACTCCAGCCTGGGTAACAAGAGCGAAACTCCATCTCTTAAAAAAAAAAAAAAAAAAATCCATTGAGAATGCTACTACTCTCTGGAATTTTCTAAACTGGGGGAAGGAAACTGGCTTAAAGTTCATTGATAGCTTTTACCTGCAAAGTTTTCCATCACAAATTCCTCTTAGGACAAGTTACTGGTGGTACACATTTTTGTTGTATTATTTGTGACCCACTAGACTCATGAAGTACTTGACTAACACTAGATTCAGTAACCAAGTTTGTGTCTCTCATATGATATTTACATTGTACATTAAAGGTGCTAACACATCTTGTCAAAAGAATTTGACATTCATTATTTTTTTAAGTCATTTTCCTTAATTTCCCAAACCTAATTGACTGTAGAACATCCAGAAGAAAATATTTCAGAAAATACAAATAATGGAAGTAAAATGCTTTTAAACCCAAGAGTGTTTCTGATATTTTTCATGTTAGAAATTTATAATAAAGCACATGAAGTTGAAGGAAAGTATCTTGTTAGATTGTGATGTATAATTTTTAAGCAGGTTGCATAAATTATCATTTCTTGTAGTATGAAAAAGTTCGAATATACAGAATGGATGGATCCTATCGTTCTGTTGAATTGAAGCATGGAAATAATACCACAGTGCAGCAGATAATGGAAGGAATGCGTCTCTCTCAAGAAACACAGCAATATTTCACTATATGGATTTGTTCAGAAAACCTCAGTAAGAAAGTTTTTATTATATTATAGTAAACCTCATTATTCCTTTTTGGGAGTGGGTTGGTAAAAAATATAACTTCTGTTTATTCTTGACTTTTAAATTTTGAAATATGTTCTTCTCTTTTATGTAAATTATTAGTGTTCAAACTGCTGAAACAGGTAAGTCCCTGCCCATCCCCTTCCCTACTTCATTCAGAGCATTTTTTTTTTAATAATTAAAAAACAAAACTTTTCCTCTTTGGCAATGGCATTTGATTTTAATGCCATTAAACGTTGTGCTCATACAACTTGCCTTTATTTTTTGTGCTCATTTTGAAATAATACAAATGTTCTTTTTACATTAATTTTCTATTTAAAATCAACCTAATGACACTGTATTTTTGTTCCTCAAGGTATTACACATACATAAAAAATTTGATTGATGTGATTGGTTATTTAATGGCTTACTAGTATGTTTTTAACACAGAATTCTGCATATGTCATAAATAGTCTATAATGGAATTAAGGATTTTCTAAACATTTGATAAATTTCATATACATTTGATAATAAGCAGTTACCCACAAATTGGGTGGTAATGTTGATTAAAATGTTCATATTAATTTTAGATTTAAATTTAATTTGTAAATATTTAATATAAAAGTGCAGATAGTTGAATACAAAGTTTCTATGCATTGATATAATTGATTTATTTTTACATTATCATTTATAAAGGAAAGATGTTTTTCAGGCCTTCAGCTCAAACCGTATCATAAACCCTTGCAACATGTTCGTGACTGGCCAGAAATACTTGCTGAATTGACTAATCTGGATCCCCAAAGGGAAACACCTCAGCTTTTTCTAAGAAGAGATGTGAGACTTCCTTTGGAAGTTGAAAAAAAGGTTTGCTTGGAAATCTTATTTACAGTTATTCAAATGCACAAAGTCTATTGAATTTCTATTGTAAGCACTAGAGGTAGAAATTGAGCTTACATCCTTATATCAATCCTTACATCTCTGTGATAATTGATGGAGTTTCAGTTGATCTACTTACAAAGTCCATTTCTACTCCCATTGTCCTAAGAATACAAAAGAAATAGGGAAGCTATCATAAAGAAAAACAGCAATCAGATGTGGAGCCAAATTATACAGGAAAAAAAACCAGTTTAAACTAGTTAGGAAGTACACTATCAAGGATAAACTTAGTAAAGGGCTAATCAGTTGTATACCTTTTGAAGGAAGAAAGAGAAACATTGGTATGGGAGAGAACAGAAAAAAACATCCTTGGTGGATAAGATTATTATTTGCAAAGGGAACAATGTGAAAGTTATTCTCGATAGTCCATTAGTGGCTCATCTTTTTTTTTTTTTTTTAGATAAAATCTTGCTCTATCCCCCAGGCTGGAGTGTAGTGGCGTAATCTTGGCAGACTGCACCCTCTGTCTCCCGGATGCAAATGATTCTCCTGCCTCAGCCTCCCAAGTAGCTGGAATAACAGGCATGCATTACCACACCCGGCTAATTTTTGTATTGTTAGTAGAGACAGGGTTTCACTATGTTGGTCAGGCTGGTCTCGAACTCCTGACCTCGTGATCCGCCTGCCTCGGCCTCCCAAAGTGCGGGGATTATAGGCCACCATGCCTGGCCTCTTTTTTTTTTTTTCTTTTTCTTTTCTTTTTTTTTTTTTAAAGACTGAGTCTCGCTCTGTCTCCCAGGCTAGAGTGTTACAATCTTGGCTCACTATAATCTTCACCTCCTGGGTTTAAGTGGGTCTCCTGCCTCAGCCTCCCAGTAGTTGGGATTATAGGTGTGTGGCACCACACCCAGCTAACTTATTTGTATTTTTAGCAGAGACAGGGTTTCACCACGTTGACCAAACTGGTCTTCAACTCTTAGCCTCAAGTGATCCACCCACCTTGGCCTCCCAAAGTGCTGGAATTACAAGCGTGAGCCACCATGTCTGGCCTAAGTAGCTCATCTTTACCCAAACAGAGAACTCTGTACATAGTAAAAAATGAGAATAGTATTTATATTTGATAAAAAAGAAGTCTGTCCATACAAGTATATTTGGATTTGAACTACTATGGATTTTAAAGGAGAAGAGGAGACAATGCCGTAGAAGGATGAATGGGCCAGGCGCCGTGGCCCACACCTGTAATCCCAGCACTTTGGGAGGCCGAGGTGGGTAGATCACAAGGTCAGGTGTTCATGACCAGCCTGCCCAGCATGGTGAAATCCTGTCTCTACTAACAATACAAAAATTAGCCAGGTGTGGTGGCGGGCACCTGTGATCCCAGCTACTCAGGAGACTGAGACAGAATTGCTTGAACTCAGGAGGTGGAGGTTGTAGTGAGCCAAGATCACGCCACTGTACTCAAGCCTGGGCGACAGAGTGAGACTCCATTTCAAGAAACAAAAATGGATAAATGGACAAAGGAGAGATTATAACAACTTAAATTAGGCATGATAATCTAATATGGTGAAATTGTTCCACCATCTTACAGCATTAGTGAAGAAAAAATACATTTCTAAATTCTTTGTTATCAGGGAATATTAAACAAACAAATTTTAGCACAAGAAAATTTCAACAACCATGTCCAAACTTGGTAAATCTTTTTTACGTAACTGTGTATATTGCTTCTTTTATATTATCAAGCCAAAGATAGAGTTGATCCTCTCAGCCAAATACACTAGGAGTTACATAAAAATTGCTGTGAAATTTACCAAAAACTAAAGTCTTCATTATTTGTTAAAAATGTATTAGAATCACATTAATAGAATGACAAGGGGGGAAAAAACGTGATCATCCTAACTGATGCAGAAGAGGCATTTGACAAAATACAACACTCTTTAATGATTTTAAAAACTCTGAAAACTAGGAATACAAACAAACTTCTCAGCATGATAAAGGGTGTTTACCAAAAACCCAAAACTAACATAATTCAATGTTAAAAGACTGAAAACTGTCCTCCTACAGTACAAAATCAGGATGCCTACTTTCACCAATAATTAAGACCTTAGTTTTTGGAAAATGATATATACATAGGAAATCCCAAAGAATCCACAAGAAAGCTAGAGCTAATAAATTAATTCGGCAAAGTTTCAAAATATAAGCTCAACACACAAAAATCAGTTGTGTATACACCAGCAAAGAATAATCCAAGAAAGAGATTAAGAAGTCCATTAAAATAGCGTCTAAGAATAAAATACCTGGGAATAAATTTTACAAAAGTAGTTAAAGACTTGTACACTGAAAACTACAGAACACTGCTGAAAAATAAGACCTAATAACTGGAAAGACATCTCCATGTTCAATGATAGAAATTGTGTTGTTAAGACGTCACTACTAGCAAAATGATTTACAGATTCAATGTAACCCTAACAAAATTCCAATAGCCTTTTTTGTGAAAGTGGAACAGACAGTCCTCAAATCTATATGAATTGCAAGGGTCCTCAAATAGCCAAGGCAATCCTGAATAAAGAAGAATCAAGTTGAGAGATGGATGTTACTCAATTTCAAAGCATACCACAAAGCTAAGTAATCAAAGCATTGTGTTACTCTAGCATAAGGATAAACATAATAGACCAATGGAATAGAATTGAGTTTTCAGAAATAAACCCATACATGTTCAGCCAGTAGATTTTTGACAAGGCTGCCAAGTTCATCTAATGGAGAAAGAGTAGTCTGTTCAATAAATGGTGCTGGTATAACTGGAAGTTCACATTGCAAAAGTAGGAAATTAGACCCCAACCTCATGCCATATAAAAAATGTAAATAGCTGGACATGGAAGCTCATGCCTATGATCCCAGTACTTTGGGAGGCGGAGGTGGGTGGATCACTTGAAGACAGGAGTTCTAGACCAGCCTGGCCAACATAGCAAAACACCATCTCGGCCGGGCGCGGTGGCTCAAGCCTGTAATCCCAGCACTTTGGGAGGCCAAGGCGGGTGGATCACAAGGTCGAGAGATCAAGACCATCCTGGTCAACATGGTGAAACCCCGTCTCTACTAAAAATACAAAAAATTAGCTGGGCATGGTGGTGCGTGCCTGTAATCCCAGCTACTCAGGAGGCTGGGGCAGGAGAATTGCTTGAACCCAGGAGGCGGAGGTTGCAGTGAGCCGAGATCGCGCCATTGCACTCCAGCCTGGGTAACAAGAGCGAAACTCCGTCTCAAAAAAAAAAAAAAAAAAAAAAAAAAAAAAAAAAAAAAAACACCATCTCTATTAAAAATACAAAAAATTATGCAGCCATGGTGGTACACCCCTGTAGTCCCAGTTACTCAGGAGGGAGAGGCACAAGAATTTCATGAACTCGGGAGGCAGAGGTTGCAGAGCCAAGATCACACCACTGTACTCCAACCTGGGCAACAAAGTGATAGTCCATCTCAAATATAATAATCAATTAAAATGCATCAGTGACCTAAATATAAGAGCTAAAATCATAGAAGAAAACAGGGGTAACTCTTCATGACATTGGATTAGGCAATGGAGTCAGATATGACAAAAGTATGAACCACAAAAGAATTAATGGTTAAGTTAAACGTCATCAAAATCGAAAACTTTTGAGTATTAAAGGATATCATTAAGAAAGTGAAAAGCAACAGAATGGAAGAAAATATTAGCAAGTCATAAATAAGGGTTTACTATCCAGAATAATAAAGAACTCCTACAACTCAACAATAAAAAGGTCAACAACCCAATTAAAAATGGTCAGGGTTTGGTACAGTGGCTCATGCTTGTAATCCCAGCACTTTGGGAGGCCATCATGGGAGCCCAGGAATTTGAGACCTGCCTGGGCAACATAGTGAGACTTCATCTCTATAAAAATTTTAAAACAGCCAGGTGTGGTGGCGCACACCTGTAACACTAGCTACTGAGGAGACTGAGATGGGAGGGTCGCTTGAGTCTGGGTGGGAGAGGTTACAGTGAGCCAGTATCACACCATTGCACACCAACCTCGGTAATAGAGCAAGACTGTACCTCAAAAAGAAAAAAAGGCAAAGAATGATGGCTCACTCCTGTAATCCCAGTGCTTTGGAAGGAATAGCGGGAGGCTCACTTGAAGCAATGAATTTGAGACCAGCCTGGCTACATAGTGAGACTCTGTCTCCACAGAAAAGTTTTTTTTATTTTTTAATAGCCTGGCATGGTGGCACACACTTGTAGTCCTAGCTACTGAGGAGAGTGGTGAGACGGGAGTATCACTTGAACCCAGGAGTTCAAGGTTGTAGTTAGTCATGATGATGCCACTGCACTCTAGGCTGGGTGAAAAAGCAAAACCCTGTCTGTAAATAAAATAGGTCAAAGGACTTGAATATATAAGTAACCAACAAGCACATGAAAAATGATCAATATCATTAGTTATTAGGGAATTGCAAATTAAAACCTCAGTGAGAAACCACACCCACTAGGATAACTATAAAAAAAAAACCCAGAAGATAATGAGTTGGTAAGAATGTAGAAAAATTGAAACCCTGGTACATTGCAGGTGGGAATGTAAAATGGTGCAGCCACTGTGGAAAACAGTGGTTCTTGAAAAATGTAAAAATAGAATTACATATGATCCAGCATTTCTACTCCTAGATATGTGCCTGAAAGAATGGAAAACAGGCACTCAAATATGTTTCTATGTCACTGCAGCATTGTTCATGATAACCAAAAAGGTAGAGGTACCCTCACTGTCCATCAACAGATGAGTGAATAAATAAAAGGTGGTCTATACATACAAATAGAGTATTATTCACTGATACAAAGGAATGAAGTTATGATACATATGACAACGTGGATGAACCTTGACAATGTTATACTAAATAAGCCAGACACAAAAGACCAAATATTTAACATTAAGTAATCTAGAATATGCAAAGGCATAAAGAAAAAAATAGATTGGAGGTTATCAGAGGTGTTGGGCTGGGGGAGACTTTCTTACCAGTTAGAAAATTTCTCTTTGGGGTGATATAAAATATGTAGAACTAGATAGTTTATAATTAATGCCACTGAATTTCACACTTAAAAATGGTTAAAATGGGCCAGGCGTGGTGGTGGCTCACACCTGTAGTCCCAACACGGAGGCCAAGGCAGGCGGATCACCTGAGGTCAGGAGTTCGAGAGCAACTTTGCCAACATGGTGAAAACCCATCTCTACTAAAAATACAAAAATTAGCTAGGTGTGGTGGTGTGCACCTTGGGAGGCTGAGGCACGAGTATCGCTTGAACCCAGGAGCTGGTGGTTGCAGTGAGCTGGCATTGTGCCTTGGTACTCTAGTCTGGGTGAGAGTGAGACTCTGTCTCAAAAAAAAAAGCCAGGCGCCGTGTGAACCCAGGAGGTGGAGGTTGCGGTGAGCCGAGATTGCGCCATTGCACTCCAGCCTGGGTAATAAGAGTGAAACTCCCTCTCAAAAAAAAAAAAAGGCAAAAATGAAAGATGTTATGTCTACCCCATAACTTAAAAAATGTGTGAGATCTGTAAAATCTGTACATAATCCAAGTAGACTCAGTCTGCCTTCTCCACCCAAGTAATATTTTAATAGTTGACTGGAGCAGTAATGATAATACTTGGATGATAAATAAATTGGATAATTATAAAATAAAGGAGACTCAAGTAAAAAGGAAGCAAGGCTTAGTAACTTCTTAAGGTAAACCATTATGTCTTGATTATCTGGTAAAACAATTGTGTTCTTTCACTCATTATATAATTAAGAAATTCCTGTTTGTGCCATCTGAAAAAAAAAAAGAATTACACTTACTATTTAGCATCATCCTTTTAGGATGAAAACATCCTGATTTCATTAGAAAAGAAAAAATGGTAACTAAAACTCATTGAACATGGTGTTGGGAATTGTAACAGTTATTGTCTTACTCAGACTTTCAAATATAGGAAGTCAGTTTTTACTAGAAAAACATGCTTTCGGCTGGGCGCAGTGGCTCACGCCTATAATCCCAGCACTTTGGGAGGCTGAGGCGGGCAGATCACCTGAGGTCAGGACTTGAAGACCAGCCTGACCAACATGGAGAAACTCCGTCTCTACTAAAAAGTACATTAGCAGGCATGGTGGTGCATGCCTGTCGGGAGGGAGAACTGCTTGAACCCGGGAGGCAGCAGTTGCGGTGAGCCAAGATCAGGCCATTGCACTCAGCTTGGGCAGCAAGAGTGAAACTCCATATCAGGAAAAAAAAAAAAAGAAAAGAAAAGAAAAGAAAAAAAAAAAATATATATATATATATATATATATGCTTTCATTCAGTCTTTTTCCATCATTTTTTTTGAGAAATTTGAAAAGCCATAGGCATATTAAAAAGTAATACAGCTCACACCATATACCATTCATTAGATCACCAGTTAACAATTTGCTGTTCTTTATCTTTGTGAACCACTTTAAAGTGAGTTGCAGGTGCTATTTCTACATATTTTGGTGTGCATCTTCTAAGAATATGGACATCTCTATCTACCATAATAACCAATTTCTAACCTAATAAAATTAATATTTCCATAATAACAATAGCTCATTCAAATTCAGATTTTTCAAAATTGTTTCAAAATACTTTTATACCTCCCAGCCCCAGGATCTAGTCAAGGCTCATGCTTTATATTTGGATGTCTCTTTAGTCTCTTTTAATCTAAAGCAGTCCCCTTCATTTTTTTCCCGTGAGAATTTTTTTGTTTGGATATTGTGTAGAGTATTTTAAGATAGAAAAATAGCCAATAGTATTTGGCCAGGCACAGTGGCTCATGCCTGTAATTTCAGCAGTTTTGGAGGCCAAGGCAGGCAGATCACCTGAGTTCAGGAGTTCAAGACCAGCTTGGCCAACACTGTGAAACCCCGTCTCTACTAAAAATACAAAAATTAGCAGGGCATGGTGGCAGGTGCCTATAATCCCAGCTACTTAGGAGGCTGAGGCAGGAGAGTCGCTTGAACCTGGGAGGCAGAGGTGGCAGTGAGCCAAGATTGTGCCATTGCACTCCAGCCTGGGCTACAAGAGTGAGACTTCATCTCAAAAAAAAAAAAAGAAAAATAGTATTTTTATTTCAGTTAATGTTAAAAAAAATCATTTCTATCATAACTTGGTATCATTGTGAATTGTATTTTGAAATACTTTAAGTATTTGGAAACTTTATAATTTGCCACTATGTGCAAGTAGGAATATATTCTATAGGCTAGGATTTCTCAATCTTTATTAATCTTATTGGATAAACTAAAAGTTAAAGTTTTTAAAATTTACAAAAAAAAAAAAAAGTATCTAGGCCAGGCAGAGTGGCTAACGCCTGTAATCCCAACACTTTGAGAGGCTGAGGTGAGAGGACTGCTTGAGCCCAGCCGAGGCAACATGGCAAGACGTTCTCTCTACAGAAAATTTTAAAATTAGCCAGGCATGGTTGTTCACACCTCTTGTCTCACCTACTATTAGACAAGCATAGTTAATAGAAAGATGTTTCAGTAACACCAAAATTTAGCTAAAATTGTTCTAAAAATTGTCCATACTTATAAACTGATGATAATATTGTTAGACAAGCGGGTTAGCAAACTATAGCCTGAGCTATAATTTGAGTAAATAGCTTGAGCCCAAGAGGCTGAGGCTGCAGTGGGCTGTGTTCAGGCCACTGTACTGTAGCCCGGCTTGCAGAGCGAGACTCTGTCTCAAAAAACAAAAAGCTACTCTTTTTGAATATTATTATTTGAAAGTACAAAATCTTTTTAGTCAGAATTTAAAATGTCTTACAATAGGCTTTTTAAAAATGCATTTGTCCTTTGGAAATTAAGATACTTCCTTTTATCTTCTTTGAAGTCCACTACTGTTTTGTATGAAGCATAGTTAATAGAAAGATGTTTCAGTAACACCAAAATTTAGGTTAAATTGTTCTAAAAATTGTCCATATTTGTAAACTGATGATAATATTGATAGACAAGCAGGTTAGCAAACTATAGCCTATTGCCATATTTTGCCAATTTTTATATACCCCATAAGCTAATAATTTTTTTTGTTTTGATAGTTAAAAAATCAAAAGAACAATATTTCATGTCATAAAAATTTTTTGAAATTCATATTTCAGTATTCCTATATAAAGTTTTATTAGAACACTGCTGTACCCATTTGTTGATGTATCACCTGTGGCTTCCTTTGTACTACAGTACCAGAGTTGATAAGTAGCAACAGCAATTATATAGTTTACAAAGCTTAAAATAGTACTCTCTGGGCCTTAACAAAAAAATGTTTGCCAACCTCTGCTCAAAGCAGTAACAGTTCATTTATATACAAATGTGTAGCTTTTGCTTTTCCCATATTAAGTTGTTTATTTGTAAAAGAAATTGTAGCCTAATAACCAAATTATACTTTCTCTTTTAAGATTGAAGACCCACTAGCTATTCTTATTCTGTTTGATGAAGCCAGATATAATTTACTGAAGGGCTTTTATACAGCTCCTGATGCTAAGCTGATAACATTGGCAAGTCTGCTTTTGCAAATTGTCTATGGAAATTATGAGAGTAAAAAACACAAGCAAGGTTTCCTAAAGTAAGTATTTTATATGCATGGTCTTGTGCTATGCTTAAGATTCTGTTTAACCAAGAAAGTTTGAAAATGTTATTAGGAATTATTTATACGTTACATCAGTTTGGAATTACATAAGACATAGAATAAGAAAAGAAAACATTATAGTAAATTATTCTTAAAGCTATACTCCAAATTTTCATGTATTTGACTATATAGTTTGATATACTTTATATTTTTTCTTTATGCTTAAATAAGTTCACTAAAACCTGACTTGAATAAGTAGTAAAAAGATTTTATAAGGCAGATGCACTTAAAAATCCCACCATAAATACTAGTTTTATGTTCAGTCTCTGAGAGAAAACACTGAGGTTTTAAGCACATCTGAATTTGGTTATTGTATTTTTCAATTTTCAAAAATATTTTCTGATTATTGAAAGAAGAAACATCTAAATTGAAAATATGAGATTTGTGGCTTTTTGCTTAAAATTTTTAGAGTTCTCTGATATTTTACAGCAAAATATTTTTCAGCTTAAAAATTGTTACTGAAATCCATTTGTAACAGAATGATTGCTTTAGCTACTAAAGATGATTTATTTAAAGGATGTTGGCATATGTGCTTACAGTGAAGAAAATCTAAAATCCATTGTACCTATTACCAAACTGAAAAGTAAGGCACCTCACTGGACAAATCGTATACTTCATGAATACAAGGTAAGCTGTTTAATAGAAATGAAAAGACATTTGATAGGCTGATTGAAAGTTTGTTAGTGTTATTAATATTTAAACATTGGTACATTAAATTTATCGTCCTGGGCCAGGCGTGGTGGCTCAAGCCTGTAATCCCAGCACTTTGGGAGGCCGAGGCGGGTGGATCACGAGGTCAAGAGATCGAGACCATCCTGGTCAACATGGTGAAACCCCATCTCTACTAAAAATACAAAATATTAGCTGGGCATGGTGGCACGTGCCTGTAATCCCAGCTACTCAGGAGGCTGAGGCAGGAGAATTGCCTGAACCCAGGAGGCGGAGGTTGCGGTGAGCCGAGATCGCGCCATTGCACTCCAGCCTGGGTAACAAGAGCGAAACTCCTCCTCAAAAAAAAAAAAAAAAAAAAATTTATCGTCCTGAAATTAAAAATGTGTCTTCTAGTTCACAATGCTTGAAATTGAAAGTAGCAAGATATTTTTATTTTTAGTAATATATAATATTTTACTGAATACTTTCTACATGATGAATACTGTAGTATGGACCAGAGATAAAAATTTGAAATAACATACCATCCATGCCTAGGAAGCAATTAAAACCCAATAGCATAGACAATATTTTTAGACCTCCGTATTTTTTTAATATTCCCATTGCAAGAGAAAAAGTAATCCTGATACAATGTGCCATAATTTTTTTCTTTAGGGGCAGTCTTTATTTTAGAAACTGCTTAGTTGACCTATTTGAATTATCAGTGGTACATTTTCCTTTCACATCTCTTTTATTTTTAATTTACCTTGTTTGTTTTTAGAATCTCAGTACAAGTGAAGGTGTCAGTAAAGAAATGCATCACCTTCAGCGCATGTTCTTACAGAATTGCTGGGAAATTCCTACTTACGGAGCAGCATTTTTCACAGGACAGATATTTACAAAGGCAAGCCCCAGCAATCATAAAGTCATCCCTGTGTATGTAGGCGTGAATATAAAAGGACTTCATCTCCTCAACATGGAAACTAAGGTAGATTTTCAGCTCTTTTTTACCAGTCATGTCATATAATACCTAAAACAACAGTACCAATTTACATGAAGAATTTAGAAATGCCATATATACAAGACTGTTTATTGCAACTCATTCATTACATAAGATGAGGGTGGGAAACTAAATCACTACCAGTAAGGGGTTATTATTATTATTATTATTATTATTATTTTTATTATTATTTTTTTAAAGATGGGGTTTCACCATGTTGGCTGGGCTGGTCTTGAACTCCTGACCTCAGGTGATCTGCCCACCTCAGCCTCCCAAAGTGCTGAGATTACAGGCGTTAGCCACCGCACCCAGCCCTGGGGTTAATATTGTTATATTACATTTCTGCATTGGAATACCCTTCAGCCATAAAAAAGAATAAAGAGTATTTTTGTGTAGAATGATCTGCAAGATATATTTAGTGAAAAAGCAAGGTACTGAACAATATGTAATGTGCTACCTACTATTGTAATTAAAATGGGAGGAAATGAGGATGATTTTTACATAAATACATATTGCTTGTGTATGCATAAAATATATCTTGAAGCCTTTAGAGAAGGGAACCAGATTACTAGGAACAAAAGTTAAGAGAGAAACTTTTCACTACATACCTATCTAGTTCAGGCTACTATAACAAAGTCCTATAGACTGATACGCTTATGAACAACAGAAGTTTATTTCTCACAGTTCTGGAAATGGGAAGTCTGAGATCAGAGTGCTAGCAGGGTTGGATTCTAGTGAGAGTGTTTTACTGGGTTGGAGACTGTTGACATCTCCTTGTAGCTTCATATGGCAGAAAGAATGAGCGAGTTATCTTGAGGTCCCTTTTATATATATAATTTTTTTATTTTTTTTATTTTTATTTTTTAAAGATGGGGTTTAACCATGTTGGTCAGGCTGGTCTTGAACTCCCGACCTCAGGTGATCTGCCCACCTTGGCCTCCAAAGTGCTTGGATTACAGGAGTGAGCCACCACGCCTGGCTGAGGTCCCTTTTATAAAGGCACGAATCCCATTGATGAGAGCCCTGCACTCATAAATTATGACATAATTACTTCTCGAAGGCTCTGCCTCCCAATACCATCACATTGGGGATTAGGATCTCAACATACCAATTTTGGGAGGCAGAGCACAAACATTCAGTCCATAACAATGCCATTTTGCAACTTAAAAGTTTTAGTTGTGTGATTATGTTGCCTGTTTAAAACACTTGTTAGGTTAATTGAAAAAGATAGATAAAAAAAGAAAAATATTCTATGTGACACAAAGGCTTCACTTTGAAAAATCAGAATTAGTACAATAACCTTTTGGGGATCAGGATGAAGTGTGGAAGGGATTGAATATCCACTGGAATAGTTCAGAGCTTCTTCATTGTTTTTTGTTTTTTTATATTTTAAAATGTCATTATTTATGTATTTATTTTTTGAGACAGAGTCTCACTCTGTTCCCAGGCTGGGGTTCAGTGGTGCAATCATAGCTCACTGCAGCTTCGAACTCATGGACTCGAGCAATCCTCCTACCTCAGTCTCCTGAGTAGCTGGGACTACAGGCCCATACCACCATGCCTGGCTAATTTTTTTTTTTTTTTTTTTTTTTTTTTTTTAGAGATGGGGTGTTGTTTTGTAGCTCAGTTTGGTCTCAAACTCCTGGCCTCAAGTGATCCTCCTGCCTCAGTTTCCCAAAGTGCTGGGATTATAAACATGAACCACTGGGCCCCACCCATTTTTTAAATTGGTGCATAGTATTTGTGCATATTTATGAGGTACAGGTCATATTTTGATACATGCATAAAATACATAATGATCAAATCAGGGTAGTTAGGATTTTCATTACCTCGGCCATGCGCGGTGGCTCATGCCTGTAATTCCAGCACTTTGGGAGGCCGAGGCAGGTGGATCACCTGAGGTCAGGAGTTCGAGAACAATGTGGAGAAACCCCATCCCTAAAAAAAAAAAAAAAGGATTTTCATCACCCAAATATTTATCATTTCTTTGTATTGGGAACATTTCAACTTACCTCTTCTACCTATTTTGAAATATACAATAAATTATTAACTATAGTCATCCTACTGTACTATGAAACACCGCAACTTATTCATTCTATATAACTATATGTTTGTAACAATTAACTGACCTCTCCTTATCCCTCCTTCCCCTACCCCTTCCCAGCTCTGGTGATCATCATTCTACTCTCTACCTCCTTGACATCAACTTAGTTAACTCACATATATGAGAACATAGGATATTTGACTTTCTGTGCCTGGCTTATTTCACTTAACAAAATGACCCCCAGTTCCATTTATGTTGTTGCAGATGACAGGAGTTTAGTCTTTTTTTGTGGCTGAATAATATTTCATTGTGCATATATACCATATTTTCTTCATCCATTCATTTGTTGGTAGACACTTAGGTTGAATATCTTTGCTATTGTGAATAGTGCTGCAGTTAACATGGAGATGCAGGATTCCTTTGAAATAGTGATTTCTTTTCCTTTGGTAGAATAGTCAGTAGTAAGATTGCTGGTTCATATGGTAGTTTTATTTTTAGTTTTTTGAGAAACCTCTGTACTGTTTTCTGTAATGGCTTTACTAGTTTATATTCCTAGTAATTCCATATAAAAATTGCCTTTTCTCTGCAACCTCACCAGCATTTGTTATTTATTTATTTATTTGTCATTTTGATAATAGGCATGCTAACTGGGGTGGGATGAAATATCATTATGGTTTTGACTTGCATTTCTGTGATGATTACTTATGGTGAGCATTTTTTAATATACTTCTTGGCCATTGGTATGTCTTCTTTTGAGAAATGCCTTTTCTATTCATTGCCCACTTTTTAATGGGGTATGTTTTTTTGCTGTTGAATTTAGTTCCTTGTATATTTTGGATATTATTCCCTTGACTAATGAAAAGTTTGAAAATATTTTCTCCCATTCACCAAATTGTCTCTTCACTCTGTGGTTGATTGTTACATTAGCTGTGCAGAAGCTTAATAATTTAAGCCCGTTTGTCTGCTTTTGGGTTTTTTTGCCTATGCTTTTAAAGGCTTAACCATAAAATCTTTGTCTAGACCAGTGCCCAAAAGCTCTTCTACTAGTTTTATAGGTTCGGGTCTTACATTTAGGATTTTTATCCATATTGACTTGATTTCTGCATATGGTGAGAGATGGAATCTAGTTTCATTCTTCTCCATGTGGGTATCCAATTTTTCCAGCATCATTTATCAAACAGGGTGTTTTTCACCAATGTTTGCTCTTGGCACCTTTGTTGAAAATGAGTTGGCTGTATATATATGGATTTATTTCTGGGTTCTGTGTTCTATTGGGATCTGTATTTCAAATAATACCATGCTGTTTTGGTTACTGTAGGTTTGTGTAGATCTTTTTGAAGTTAGGTAGTGTGATGCCTCCAGTTTTGTTCTTTTTTTCTCACAATTGCTTTGGCTATTTGGAATCTTTCATTATTCCAAATGAATTTTAGGATTCTTTTCATTTTTGTAAAGCATGTCATTTGTATTTCAATAGAGACTGCATTGAATTAGTTGATTGTTTGGGGGTAATATTGCTGTTTTATTATTTATTTATTTATTTATTTCTGAGACAGTCTCTCTCTCTGTCGCCTAGGCTAGAGTGCAGTAACATGATTTCTGCTCATTGCAACCTCTGCCTCCTGAATTCAAGTGATTCTTCTGCCCCAGCCTCCTGAGTAGCTGGGATTACAGGTACCTGCCACCATGCCCGGCTAATTTTTGTATTTTTAGTAGAGAAGGGGTTTTACCCGGTTGGCCAGGCTGATCTTGAACTCCTGACCTCGGGTGATCCACCCTCCTCAGCCTCCCAATGTGCTGGGATTATAGGCATGAGCCACTACCCTGGCCCATAATGCTGTTTTAACGATATTAACTCTTCCAATCCATGAGCATGGATATCTTTCCAAATTTTTGTGTCCTCTTCAAATTATTTCATCAATGTTTTGTAGTTTTTGTTACAGAGGTCTTTCATTTCCTTAGTTAGATTTATTCTCAGGTATTTAATTTTTTTAGTAACTATGGTAAATGAGATTGCTTTCTTGTTTTGTTTTTCAGCTGATTCATTATTGGTGTATAGAAATGCCACTTATTTTTGTATGTGAATTTAGTGTCCTGCAACTTTATTGAATTTGTTGTGTTAGTCCTATGAGTTTTTTGGTAGAGTCTAGGTCTTTCTGAATATAAGATAATGTCATCTGCAGAGAGAGACAGTTCAACTTCCTGTTTACCAGTTTGTATGCCTTTTATATCTTTCTCTTTCCTGATTGCTCTTTCTAGCACTTCCAGTACTGTTTTTTTGTTTTTTTTTTTCTTTTTTTTTTTTTTCTTTTGAGACAGAGTTTCGCTCTTGTTACCCAGGCTGGAGTGCACTGGCGTGATCTCGGCTCACCGCAACCTCCGCCTCCTGGGTTCAGGCAATTCTCCTGCCTCAGCCTCCTGAGTAGCTGGAATTACAGGCACGCACCACCATGCCCAGCTAATTTTTTGTATTTTTAGTAGAGACGGGGTTTCACCATGTTGACCACGTTGGTCTCGATCTCTTGACCTCGTGATCCACCCGCCTCGGCCTCCCAAAGTGCTGAGATTACAGGCTTGAGCCACCGCGCCCGGCCGCACTTCCAGTACTATGTTAAGAGTGGTTGAAAGTGGGGTATCCTGGTTTTATTCTAGTTTTTACGAGAAAGGCTTTCAGCTTTTCCCCTTTCAGTATGATGTTAACTGTGTGTTTGTCATATATGGGTTTTATTGGTTGATATATGTTCTTTCTATGCCTAATTCGTTGAGGTTTTTTTCCCATCACAATAGGATATTGAACATCATGAAGTTCTTTTTCTGCACTTACTGAAACTATTATATGGTTTTTGTCCTTCATTCTATTGATTGTATCACATTTATTAATTTGCATATGTGGAATCATCCTTGCCTCCCAGGCATAAATCCCATTTGATCATGGTGTATTATCTTT